GGCTTTTGACTAAATTCTTTAATTTCACTGGCTGTCAAGGTAGTGTTAAGTAAAATAGGTTTGAACTGCTGTAGTTTTTGTGTACTGGACTAGATGTCAGAAACCTTTGCCATCACTGGAAATTCTGTCACTCTGGATTTACTATCTGTTTCCCGCAGCTGAATTCCTGAGCAGTGTGATTTAACACCTTGGCTCTCCATCAGCCAGGCCTGGCATTTATTTGAATGCATTACACCACTGGTTTCCATAAACTATTTTACAATTGTTTCATATAAATGACTGTTTATTTCTACGAAAACCATCTGTATTTCTGTGGGAAGAGGCAGATAACTGTGTGTAAGATTCAGTCATGTCACAACAGTGCAAGCTAAGGAAAAACATATTGGACTGGAAACAAACCTCTCATGCTTGTGCGCAGCATTCGAAGTTTGTTTTCACTATCTAAATATCTTTATTTATTAACCAGTATTTGCATTTGTGATGCTGAGATCTTTATTGCACTTCGGAGGTGTCGAGGGGCTTTGGAGATTTTTAGCGGATAAACAGATTTCAGATGTCCTCGCAGCAGCAGGATTGGGGATGTAAACATTCTGCTCTGCAGCCAGTTCTCTCGCACTGTTTACATATTTTCCCTTGTTTTATTGTCATTGCCAAGCACACAATGGAATCCTGCCCCTTCTGTCACGTTCTCAGCACAGTCCCCCAGGAGGAGGCCTGAGCCCTCTCCCACTTTCCCTGCTCTCGCAGCACATCACTCCTGTTCCTCCCTCAGCCCTGTGCCCAGCACTGATGGGGTGCTGGGGGTCCCCTGAGCCTCCCAGGGCACGAGGCACTGCCTCTGTTTCCCTCCTCCCCACCAGCACCCGAGGAGCCTCCGCATGGAGCTATTTCAGTCCCTCCATCTGCCGCCCATGTGCTGGCAGAGGGAGCGCTGGAATCCAGCAGTCTTACACTTAGCACGACTGATACTTTCTGACAGACTATTTGAAATGATAGAAATACATAAATCTCCTCTTTTTTATGACCTTGTAATAGCTGCAACATATTTCCAGCAAATATTTTCTATAGCAATAATAAAAAGGCGATAACAAAAAAATAAATATAAACAGAGTTTAAAGGGAGCGCAGTCGCACTCACAGAGCCCAGGGCTGTAAATCACAAATTCTTGGCAAGGGAGGGGCCTGGAAAAGTCCCCCAGACATCAAGGGTAAGTGTTCCTTTGACTGCTCTCCTGTCTTACTCTGCACGTGGCCAGGGCCAAGGCACAGCCCCTTCCCTTTGCCCTGCTCCTGGCACCCACTGCCTGCCTGACCGGCCACAGCTCTGATTTCTCCCCTTATTTTATTTGGTTTTTTTCTCTTTCTTTTCTATTTCTTTTACCCAGAGCAGCTGTGGCTGCTCCATCTCTGGGAGTGTTCCAGGCCAGGTTGGATGGGGCTTGGAGCAAACTGGGCTGGTGGGAGGTGTCCCTACCCAGGGCATGGGTGGAATGGGATGAACTTTAAGGTCCTTCCAACATGAATTGTTCTGTGATTCCATGATTCTGTCAAACCCCTTTGAGCAGTCAGCAGTCACTGAGGTGTGGGAGAGGTTAGGTGTAGAGAGGCTGCACCGTTGGTGGGATGTGTAATGTGTTGCTCACACCTGCTGCACTCAGGTGTGGGTGGTGGCAGGGGTTGGTAGGAGTCCAAGCAGACACCAGTGTGCCTGGACTTCCTCACCAGGCAAACTGTGAAACTAGCATGACCCCATAGCAAAGAGCAGAATTCACAGGTGATGTGGACAAAGGCAACACAGGGGGCACACGTGGGCACAGCTGTGGCAGAGCCGGTCACACTCCAACGCCCTGAGCAGGCTGTGAGGAGCCAGGGACCATCTGATGGGATGGGGGTTCCATGGCATGCTGAGATTTCCAAAAAGATTTGACAAAGGCTCATAAAGCAATTAAGCTGTCACGGGATGAGAAGGAGGATCCTCACATGGATTAATAATTGATTAAAAGACAGGAAACAGAGAATAGGAATAATGGCCCTCGGTGATTAGTAACTAGGTTACTGGTGGAGCTCCAGTGGAACTGGTGGAACCTGCATTGTTCCTTAATGTGGGGCATGGAAAGGATGTGAATGCTGATGTGACAAAATGTGCTGTTGATACAAAAGAGGTAAGAATAGTGCAAATAAAAGCTGTCTGTGAAGCAGTGCAGAGGTATCCACAGCGCTGAGTGACAGGACAATAAAACGAGAGAGGGAATTCAGTGTCAATGAGTGCAAAATAATATACATGGTGAAAAGCAGCCGTAACTATATGTGTTCAATGATGGGCTCTAATTACCTCCCATCAGTCAGGAGAAGTATCCGAGTGTCGTCATGGCGAGTTCTCTGAGCACTTGAGCTGCACGTCCGAGCAGGCAGAGACAAATGGAGCATCAGGAGTTAGGAAGGGAGTGTGGAACAAACCAGAGAGCCTCACTGTGCCAGTCCCTAAATCCCAGCGTGCCCACGGCCTAATTGCTGTATTTGGTCTCCAAAGGGATAATACAGAAATAAAGAGATGCAGAAAGAGATGAGTGTGACAGTTGGATCAGCCACGTAGAATGAGGAGCAGGTCCTGAGGAAGGAAGGTCTTCTCCAGTGCGGAAAAGGCCCAGCTGGGGTCAAGGGGTGTCTGTGGTGAGGATGCTGAGTTGAGAGGGTTTTATCCCTGTTGTTCACAGACAGGAGCTTCTCACCCCACACGTCAGCATGGCAGTGGCTCTCTGGAACAAAAGGGAATTCTTTTCCTCACACAGTGCAATAAATGCAGGAGGTGAATGTCATGGAAATGGGAAATTCAGAAGTGTTTTGGACATATGGACAGGCTGTAAAGGGAGCAGAAACGGCTGAGAGCAAATACTGGTGGGACTGGGGTGTTGGTGAGGGTTGTGGGAGCTCTTGGAGGGGAAGAGAAGGGATGCACAGAGTGTAGGGATGTGTTCTGTGAGCTCTTGAGGGGAAGAGAAGGGATGCGCAGGGTGTAGGGACGTCTTTTGTGGCAGGGGCTAACACTGTAAATTGCAGGCTCAGTTTTAAACCATTTGGGGAGTTTGTCAATACTGGTGTTTTTAGTTCAGGCTTGACAAGTCCACAAACATTAAATATTCCTTCTATAATCCTTGTTTCAGCCTAGTAGCTCGTTTGGAGATGGAGAGAGGTTTGGTTGGGCTCTGTTTGACACCTGGTTCCCTGTCACAGAGTTAGTGTTGTTTACTGTGCAGATTCACCCCTGACCGTGGTTTTCTTCATTGCTATTGAAAGTTAATGGGGGAAAAATTGCATTCCAAACATTTGAACCCAGAGTAGCCATGGCTGAACTTAGTTGATCTCTGGTGATCGGTTCAATTTAGTTACGATTTTTAGCCATTAGACTGGGACTGAATGATGGTGATTTGGTTGAGGCCAAATGTCTGCAGAAAATTGGCTGTTTGATAAGAGCCCTGTTATCAGAGGGGGATACTTTCTCATTTACATTTAGATGAGTATTGATTATTTATTTACTCAGAGAAGTGAGATTCGTTCCCAATCTTATCTCTCTCGTCTCTGCTTGTCAGCAGAAAGAGAGAGAGAGCTCCTGACAACAGCCCAAGATAACAGCACTTTGTAGTGGAGATAAAAGTTGGAATGGGCCTTTTTCTAGTCTTGACTGAAAGGATAAGTTTTAAAAATTAGAACTGATGGGTCGTGCTTTCAAAAGCCCTTTCTGAAGGCTTTGCAGCTTAAGTGGCAGCAGAATTGGTTTGTTGGTATGCGGGTGGCCTTCCCTTCTGCAGGGAGATGCTTAATCTGATTATGCAGTGAGATGCTTCCTGGGCTCCATGTGTGCTCAGGGAAGCTGTGTATTGGGGCTGTGTCCTGTCTCCAGTTCCATCAGCATTCCTCTCTTAAAGGGTGTCTGGAAATGCCAAGCACTGTGGGGACTGCGGGCAGAGCCCACGGTGTGGGTGGTTAGACAGGGATTTTCTGCTCAAGCTCCACATGCTGTCCCTGGCTGTGCTGGGCAGGGTGGGAGCTGCTGGGTTTTCCTCCTGTATCCTGCAGAAATCCTGGCCCTGTGTGCTCCATGGTGTTCCATTCCAGGAGGGAATGCACCGGGGCCGAGCGGTGAGTGCTTCTCTGGCTTTGGGGAGATGGAACAAGAAGCCCTAATTGAAATTCTGCTGGAGTAAATTTAAAATTAATTGGCTAACAAGTTCTATTCCTTAGGCATGCCATCCGAGGCTGGAAGGTTTGGGGTTTTATGTTTTAAATATTTCATCACACACGCTCGTATTTCAAAGTCAGGAAACAGAAATACTTTCAGTACGGATAAAGAGGGAACAGGTTTCATTATTTCAGTTCTAGGGGTTTTGCTGCATTAAGACCTGGTTAAAGGTGCTTTGCATCACGTAAAACTTTTCGGGTGTCTGTTTAGTGTCACTTTGCCAGATCATGCAGAAATTGCAGAGCTGAGGCCTTGGTGTGCACTTCAGCCCCCAGTGTGAGCAGGAGTGGAGTCACCCCGTGCTGCTGGAGGGTGGAGCGAGGGCAGGAGTGTGCCAGTCCCCACCAGCTCTGCCCTTGAAAGGGGCTGTTCTTCTCCCAGGGTGCCACGTGGAGCTCAGTGTGCCTGGTTCTGCCCCTGCCCTGCCCTGCTGGGGCCTTTCCCAGGCACTGCCAGTTCCTTACATCAGGCCACAGCCTCACAGCGTGGCCAGGGTTTTGTACAGGCTCCTCTGGGGCAGGAACAACGTGGGAGTGTTGCACAGGAGCTTGTCAGGTCACTCTGGGAACAGCTGAACCCAACAGGAACGTGTTGTTTCCTTCCACATCACCCTCCATGTTCTGCCGTGGCCCTTCCCTTGGCACAGAGCTTTGGGACATCAGCACCCACCTGCCTGGGCTGCGAGTAACCTCATGTCAGTTGAACGTGCTAAGCCATCGCTGTGTTAGCAAACAGATGATTTCACAAGTTACTTTATGTTTCAGGTCCTCAGTATCGGCTGGAGAAGCAGAGTGAACCTAATGTCCCAGTAGATTTAGACTGTACCTTGGAGAGCCAGAGCACTTTGGAATTCTGCCTTGTCCGGGAGAACAGTATGTTTCCCCTTTTCACTTTTGCTCTTGTAAACTGCTTAAACTCGCATAAGTTATGTATTTCGGAACACAAGCTGTGCTGTCTGGGCGAGTACGTTGACGAGACTCTCTGTCCCGAGGCATTTCTTGCGGTGCCAAAACAATATTCCAGAGGGAAATGATGGATTTCGTACCTCTAGTAAATAGTCTGCATCCTGTTTATCACTTCATGATTAATCTTTCGCTGTTAAACTCTGCTCTGTAAAGTTATGACCAACCCTGAAACCACAAAATATGAAGCTGTCTGTGCTGCAGACGCTGCTCAATGAGTCGAGGGGTTAGTCTGCACATCCTGCCCTGTCACTGGGGCTGTCAGAGCCACTGGGAGTTTCTAAGAAAATGCAGAGAAATTAGCCATGCAGAAACAACTAGAGCAGTTTGCTGATTTTTGAAGTGCCATACAAATCATCTCTCCAGCTATGCTCAAATATTTTTATTTGATTACTGTTTTAATGGTCCTTATATTGTTTCCTGATTTATTTCTTTACATGAAATGACATGAAACTTGCAAAAAAAAAGATATTTAACATTGCTTTGTGTTTGTTCTCCATAACATTTTGGTCCACTCTTCATTCTTTACAACATGCTCTCGGGTTTGGGGTTCCTTTATTCTGTTTTGTGTAAAAAGTTGATTGCA